CTTGCAGGTGCAGCACAGGAGTCTCTGGGGATCTCCCGTTGCTGTGAGGGAGCTTCAGGCCTCACTGAGCTCCTGGGACTGCTGCCCTTGTCACTTCTGCTTCTCCCTGCGCATCTGTCCTAGAGCCAGCGCATTTAGGCTGCTGGCCAGGAAGACACTCGAGGCAGAAGCAGGGAGGAAACTTTCTCCCTACTTGTTCAGGAAAGATATATTTAACAACAAAAAAGAAAAAGCCCAGAGTACAAATATTTAGCTTTTCATCTGAAGGGTACAATTTTTTGAGCTGACATGAATTTGCAATGAATTTTCGATAAAACATAAGACATGGAGGCAAAAAGCCCCAGTCACACAAAATCTCAGTAGGTCTAGTCGTTTGACTTGAGCCTGAGCACCGTCAGTCTTTGCACATAAACAAATTTTCAGGTCATGTGGTATTATATTTTTTGTCCAGCAGAAGACACTGTATTTTTTAGGGGACATTTTAGCTCAAACATTAGCTGAATTGCATGTTGTCAGCTCTTGCTTAATATAAATAAAAACTAGTTTGTACTATGCACAATATAAAACATATCCCATGTTGCTTCATGGTGAGGTTGGTGCTACCTGCCTTATAAGTAAGTGCACCTCACTGACACTGAGACCAAGAAAACCAGAGAGGACACTTTAGTACAGTCTCTGGCAGAAATCCACATGCCACAGACAGAATTATTTGTTTACACCACTATGGAAATGCAGATACTAAATTACATTAGGGCTAATATGGCACTTTATGTGCAACAACAGCTAGACAGAAAGAAGTGTTGCCCATATTAATGGATTAAAAATTAGCCATTCACCCAGTAGTTTGAAAATATTTATTGAGTACTTAGTAGGTGCCAGACATTATTCTGGATGTTGGGGTATAGTGGTGCATGAGAAATGATGTCCCTCATCTCATGATGGTTGCATTTAAAGTGGAAAGATAGAAATAAATAGGAAAATAAGTAAAAGATAAAAAGGAAAATATCCAGTGTAAATGAAAGGGGAAAAGCAATACTCTAGTTGCTGTGATAGCAATTGGGTAGTCAGATTGAGCTTTGCTGAGGCCTTGATACTCAAGCTAAAATTTGAATGGCAAGAAGAAATCTGTCACATGAGGATCTGGGGGAAAAGTGCTTTTGTAGAGGGAAGATAATTTGGAGAAAGCACAAGGAAGACAGGGTGGGGACAGTGGGCAATGAGGCTGTTGAGGAAGAGGAGCAGAGGACAAGCAGTGCACCTGAGGACCAGCAGGAGCTGGAGAGGGGGCCAATTGTTACATCATGAGGAAGGATGATGACAAAATGATTAATTTAAGAATGGACTAGATTGTAAAGTGGAAGGTATTGTGCAATCAGATGGTATAAAAATGTAAGATGGAGACTTTGGAAAGATTCAACTTGCCCTAGTCATGCATCCTTTTCCTTCCTCCTTCCTTTCTCCCCCTCCCTCATCATCCCTCTCCCCTCCCATCTTCCCTCTTTCCCTTCCTCTTCTTTTTAAATTGCATTTTAACATTACATAAGGTTCAGGTGTGCATCTCTGCAAATCAAGATGTGCATATGCAACATTAAGTTCGCCACTAAAATACAATGCTATCCTTCACCATGCAATTGACCCCTTTTAAGTGATTTACCACCCCATTCTCCCTTCCCTTCTGGCATAATTTCCATCTGGGTCTGACTAGAGATTAGAACTGCCAGTAATGATGCCAGTCTGCGGTGTCATTTGTCAAGACAGATCTGTCTTGAAAATAAAGAATGCGGCACTTTTGGTTCTTTTAAGAATCATATCCCAATGCAGTGTCTTTGACTTGCTACCTTCTCCTTGATTACCAATATAATACCTTCATGATGGAATATTTGGAAAAAACAGATAAGCTAATGGAAGAGATAAAACCACTCTAAGTGTAGTCACCCAAGAATAATTGCTGTTAACATTTGGGCACTCACTCTCTTCATGGTTCTATAGTACAGTGATTTGGAATACAGACTCTGGAGTCTTAATTGTTTGTAAAATGTCATACAACTGGTTGCAATCTCCCTAAGCCTCTGTTTTTTATTTCTGCAAAATGGGGATGGTAATGTTGCCCTTTTCATAAGACTGCTATGAGGATTAAGTGAGATAACTCATATCATGTTCCTGATTTAGTGCCTGGGAGGTAGCACATACTTAAAATGTTAGGAATTACGCTACTATCATTTTACAACATTGGAATCATATTGTAAAACTGTGAGTATATAAGTTATTATTTTAATTATCACTAAGCACTATGACATGTTCATAAATATTTTTCTATGGTATCTCTAGTGGTTAAATAGCATTTTACCTTAGGGATCAAAAGCAGTTCATTGTCCATTATGGAACACAGTACTGTTTGCAAATTTTCATGTTTTAAGAAAATCCTACAGTGAAAATATTGCAGCCTTGTAATGGTAATCAGGCTTGATTACTATGACTATTTCTGTAGGATAAATTCTGAGAAGTGGTTGGGTCTAAGGGCATGTATATTTTCAAGACTCTTTGATGCATTTTATTATGTGTTCAACCATGAATTTAGCTAATATCCTAGGTCAGAGTAATGTCTGGAAGTAAATCATCCACAAATGTGTGCATATCAGTAGGCCCGATTTACCATCATTAGCTTAGCGTAAGTACTCCACTGCCTCTCATCTTTTTTCTCCAAACCAATTCACACCTTCTGATAAGCATTATCTCCCCTTATTCCTTAAGGAAACTTCTCAGTTCTAGGTTTCCAACTGAGCAAATTTGCCTACAATTTTCCTACTTGCTGGGAATCCTGTACTTTCTATTTGTTTCACTTGAAGTCATAAACTCTAAGATTTTAGAATATTAGAATACCAAGCCCTTCATCTTCTAGATGAGCAAACTAAAGTAGAGAGAGCAAGTGATTGGACAGTTGGTCCTCCAGTCCACACTACTGTTAGGTAGCTGGTCAAGGTGCCTCACTCCTTTATTCCTAGCACTGTACCTAGTCCTGCCTCCAGCACATCTAAGCAGTTGGTAGTGTTTGTAATACTTCAAATGCTTGAAGGAACTTGCAGTCTTTTAGGATTTTATAATGGGAAAGGACTACAGAGGAGTTGATATCTATATTAGTTAATGAGATATATGTCTCCTTTAGTTTTTAGTGACAAGTTGGATGAACATTTTAGGTCTCAATTCTTAAAAAAGACAAGGAGAAGCCAGGAGAAGACAAGGCTTCTTGAGATGAAAGGGGGTCATGTAGAGAAGGGTTAAACTAATTCTGCTTTGTTCCACAGGGAACAAAATTAAATCTAAGCAAAACTGAAGCTGCCAAGAGACTAATTTCAGCAAAAATAAGGGAGAGTTTCTAATAGTGAGGACTGTTCAAAACTGAAATAGATTTCTAAGAAGTGAGTTGGCCCTATTTGAAAGTACTCAAGTAGAAACAGTGATAATTTGTCATGTGTGTTTTAAAAGAAAAAACTGGGTTTTTTTTTTTTTTGTGTGTGTGTGTGCCTTGTTGGGATAGAGAACTTTTAAGGTCTCTAACAAAGCCAAGATAAAATGATTTTGTAAATATATGTACACACACATGCACAATAGATGGATAATTTTTTTCCTTGTTAATACATTGCTTTGTAATTAAATCTTTTGAGTGTAAACCCATTGTCTTTGTCATTATAAATGGGACCAAATAAATTCTAATATATGCACTTAACCAAGATTTTATGGTTCTAAGTAATCCTTTTTTTGGGTGCTAATTCATTGTGCTATACACAGTAAGGGTTCAAAAGATAAATTTAAATGAGCTCTCCAGGCTGGAAAAATCTGCTTTAAAGATAAATTGTGCTACAGTCTTCATGAAGTTGAACTCTTTGATTGAACTCAGATGCTCTCAATCAACTATATCAGTAGATCACATTCAAGAGCACTAAATATGTATTAACTTATTATTTTAATTAAAAAAGTTTAAAATTAAAAGAAGACAGTTGGGTGGATTTTATTGTGATGAGATAAAAGTGTCCTCTTATTGAGCTTCTGAATGATGATATGAAATTATGGCTGGAATTATTTCCTAGAATATAAAGAATCCCTTTCAATATTAAACTGCAAATAGGATTTAATTGCATTTCAAGTATGAAGTTATTAAAAGACTGCCCATAGTTTAATAATTATATCCAAATTCTAGTGGTAAGAGAGCCACATAAATAAGCCATATTGGAAAATAATTTCAATTTTCAAGATTTCACATCAGTAACAGAAGTGGAGGTCCTAAGGAGTTTGTACTTGGAGTCAATAAAAAGCTTCTCTCTCAAAAAACAATCTAGAAAAGCTGTGATAAGTATTGTAGATAGCATCATGTGACACTGTGATTTCAACCAGGAAGGAAATGGATAAATAACAGCAAAGAGCACTTTCCACCCCTTGCTTCTCTGCCTTTTTCCTTTCTAAAGGCCAAATAAGGAAATCAGTGTTCAAATAAAGTATTTCATTGAACTTATCACCGTTGTTTTGAATAGTCTTAATAGTGAACTATCTATGGCTCAAGTAAAAAAGGATTGTCCATTTACTAGAATACTCTGCCAACCCTCTTGTATGATATGTACGTATACAATATAAATGTATAATATCTCAGGGGCAACAAGACATTCTATATTGCAAACACTGCATTAGATTGCATTGCATTGCATTAGAGGAAAGCAGTAAGGCGTGAGCAGCGGTCATAGATTTATCATGGAACTAAGCTCAGAGTTCTTTTCTAGGACTCCAGCCACTGCTAATCTGTCACAGAATTGTGGTAGATTGGCATCTATTAGCTGGCTCTGGTAGGAAGTCAAAAGTTCTCTGATAACAATAGCTTTCATTCTAACAATTATAATCATGGTTATTTGTGTCTATAAAGCAAGACCCATTTCATATGTATCCTGCTGAAATCTGATATTTTGAGTTCCACTCTCAGAAATATGAAATAGAAAAACAAGCAAAAATGTTACCTCCACCGCTGCTTTTGCCCTTTCAAATTCCTCTTCTAAGGAGTGGTTTCTGGAAAGTAATGCACTTCCCCAGCGATGTTCTTTGGTCAGTCGAGCCTGAAATAAACCCAACACATGGTGTTATAATATTAGGATCACATAATACAAAAATACAACTAATTTTCCTTTACCCATTTTCTCTTAGACTTTAAGAAGCAACTGCAGGGGGCCTCCCCGTGGCGCAGCGGTTGAGCGCTGGGTTACGAAGCTGCCCGAAGCCTTTGCAGCGCTGGTTCGATCCCCAGCTGCTCCCTGGACAACGGAGGAGGGTCCCACATGGCGCGCAGACCTCTCCTGCCGCCCGCTGCTCCCCTCAGCAGTGTACTTCGGTTCTTCTGCCTGCTCTGCTCCCCGCTCTGGCTCTGGTGAATTCTCTCACCCTCCCGTGCTTCTGACTGTACCCAGTGCTTGTATAAATAAATAAATAAATCTTTGAAGAAGAAGAAAAAAAAAAAGCAACTGCAATTAATGTCATTTTTGAAATACTTTGCAAGCACAATGTTGTCCAAATTATGATGGTACCACAATGTGTGTGATCAGTCACGCATGCTTTTTCTACAGGGGCCTTATTACAGAGAGGGAATGTCCCTAAAAAGAGGGAGGGTCCATGTTCCCTGACCTACCTAATGAAGTGTGGAGCTGAGTGGCCAGTGGGAGCTGGAAGAGACTTGGAGCAGGAGACATGGAGAGATCAAAACAGGGAGATACGTGAAGAAAAAGTGTGTGCTTTTTTCTCAGTTTTAGGTTTGCACCGGAGATTTGGGGGCTAGAGAAGGAGACATGTGAGACATGTGTAGTCAAGACATGCATGCAGAGACATTTGGGAGAGATGTGGGTGAGAGACATGTGGGAGGCTGACAATGGCAGCCCAAATGTGTTGATTTGTACTTTGATTTTGCTCCTTTCATCAAAGATTTGACTGGCACATTTTCAGAACTCACGGGCCCCGCTTTGGGCCAACCCTGTTTGGCTGGTCATTTACCCAGGAGGGGAATGGTAACTTTGAGTGTTTTATTGGTGAACTATTATCCTTTCTTCTTGCCTTTCTCTATACACACTTATCCTATTAAAGTTCTTTTACACTAAGAGTATGTTTGTCTTTATGTGGCAGATGGCAAAATTCCTTTACAGTATGCAAGTTTGGGATTTCGGGGTACCCTTCAGTTGTACACTAACAGTCTCAGCCCTGGTCTTATTAAAACCAACACCCAGACTTCACCTTCCAAATATTTTACTTTAATTGATATTGGTTCAGGCATTGATATTTTAGTAAGTCTCCCACAGGATTCAAATACGCAGCTAGGATGGAGAATTTGCATATAAAGACTAGACCTAAGAACTGATATTGAACTTGAACCTAAGAAGGTTCAAGACAGGGAAGACTGTGAAAGCTACAGACTGGGAAGGTGGCTGCTAGGTTCTTCTTGTATGTACAGATCATTGTGCTGTATCTCTTTCATTTGCCTTTTCTTTCTTGCCACATATCTGTGTCAGGTCCTGTTCCCCCAGGACACTGCTCTCTGTTAAACAATCATCACTTAGATGAAACCAGGTCCAATAATGCCAACGGCTTTATCACAATTAACAGGCACTGTAATACACTGTAATCTTAATTTAGCTAAATACAAATACTTCCAGAAAATCTCTCCTGCCTCCCCAAGAGTCTGCTGGAATAGAGTAAAAGTTATTAAAATGTAATTTCACAAAAAATGAATACATTCTTTTTGAAAAAAGCAATCATGGAAAATAAGAGGTATACCTCTAGACTTCTTTATGTTGGTATACTATTTTGCTTTTTCCCACTCAATAATATATTTTGGAGAGTTTTCATATTTAGCACTTTGATATCTATCTCATTTTTTTTCCAGGGATTTCCTAGTAAGTCTATCCTGTAGTTTGTTCAGCTTCTCTCTGCAAGCTTTCAGAGGTTTTCTGATTTTTCTCCTTATAATTGCCTGTTTTCTTGTCTATATTCCTGCTCTACTGTGGGATCCGGGAGGCAGGATTTTATCTGATCCTTTTGTTCTCCTACTATCTAGCCCAGGGCCTGACAAGTGATAAGTGGCCATGACTGCAGGATGAGGGATTGCACTGATAAGGCAGCTAGGCCTCAGGGAGTGGGAGGAGAGACTTGTGGGGTCCCTTCCCCCACCAGCTTTCATGGATGGAGTAGGTACTGTTTACAGGAAATATGAGGGGGACCACAATGCATACATCAAGAAGGCAAAAAAATATTTGATGTTTTAGTAAATTAACCTTTTGTGTTCATTCAAGCAAAACATACTCCATTAAAAAATATCTTACCCTCTTTTTTTCAGAGCAAGAGAAGCTTCCATCATCCAGGTGTTAATTGCATTATTGCAGGGATGCTCAACCCTGGCCTCTGCAGGAACTATTCAATACTTCAGTAGGCCACACTCACCCAGACCAATAAGAATGTCTGGAGATGGGACCTGGTCATTAAATGTTCGAAAATCTCCTCTAGGGATTTTGACAGGCTGTCATTTGTGGAAACCACTGTCCTATAGCAAAGCTTTGTTTTTCACTTAGCACTTACCATCTACACAGCTTGGCAACTTTTCATTTTTTCTCCACCATCATGGCCTCAAAAGGACTACCCCTGCCATTCATCATTACATAACAGTAGTGCCAGGGCTCACCATGTGACAGATGCTCATCTTTTACATCCCAGAATTCATTTAGACTTTTCAGGTAAGTATTATTGGCAACTCCATGACACTGATGCACAGATTGCTTAATTCACTTGCCCAAAGTCACACAGTTGGTGAGTGGTAGGGCTGGTGCTTCATGGCCGGTTCATGCACTACACTCTTTTCACTGGAGGCTGTGCTCCACTGACCACTTTACAGTGGTCACTCCCAATCCTTTGCACTTTACAAATATGCAAAACATAGAAAATCTGTCCCTCAGAGACTGAAGCTCAGTGAGGGAGTTAGCTAAAAAGGCCTTAAAAAAATTAGGGAGTGGAAACATAACAAAGCAATAATAATGAAGTAATGTATAAGTAACAATCTTAAACGTTTGCTTTGATGAATTTAGAAGGTTAATTTATTGAAATATTAATTTGTGTTTTCAACTCCTGACACACTCATTTAGGCTCCCCCATATTTCCTGCAAACACCATGTGCTGCATTGCCGATAAATATTTATATGCAAATTGGCTGTGAGTATATCAATGAACAAAATCAAGGTATTTCTTTCTCCTAATCCCAGAAGGTAGCTGAGTTCTCTGTCAATGTTTCCTGGCCAATCCAGGAGGCTAAGGGGAGCTTGTAGGAGATTGAAAGGTGAACTTGTTTTTTTTGTCCTGTTGCCTAGAGTGGCAGTGGTCTAGGTTAACAAAGCCTTACAACTTGGGATAGGGGAGAGAAAGGCTGGAGGATGCCTTAGGGAGGTGCCCAGTTGAGAGTAAGGCCTATGAACAGCACAGAGGCAAGGCTTCTGGAATGATGCCTACGGTCAGAATGGGGGGTGAGGAGGGCACATCTGGGGTTGCCAGACCTGGGTGCTTCCCTCCCAGGTGAGCCAGGTCTAATGGCTATAATGGGCAGCATCTTTTCTTCTCTGGGCACCCTGATATCAAATACCTTCTCCTAATACTTTGAATCAAGTCAGAGACAGTGGGGGAACTCCAGAAACAAAAGTGAGTTTGACTATCACACATTCCAGAGATTAGGATGTGGACATATCTATTTTGAGGATCACCATTCAGCAATATATTTGATTAACAAAATAAAGTCACAGATGGTTTATAATCTTTTAGAACTTAGAATTTGTTGGAGTGTTATAGGCTAGTAGAAAAGTTAACCCCAAAGGTGACATGATCCTATTGTCTTGTAAAAAGTTAATAAGTCTTGTATGGAAGTTGGTAAACTTGCTTCAGCATTTCTTTCCCAGCTGGTTATATAACTCTCTATTCTTTAATTCTTTCCTTTTGGAACCAACTCTTTTCCTGCTGGTTCCTCATTAATAAAATAAACAAATTTTAAAAATGTGGATACATGGTAAGAAATAAACTTTGTACATTTACATAATAATTTCATAAATGAATCATGAATAGTACTAGAAGAAGAGAAAGTACTGATAGTTTTGTTGCAAGGCACCTCCTTTTATTAGAGACACTTTTCACCAGTGAAATATGATCTGTCTTTCCTGGGAAAGCAGACCTAACAAGACCCCATGACTATCATTGACTTCACCTCGTCCATGATTCACGACCCCAGTGGGTTATGATTCACAGGAGACATAGGCACTATAATTCAGGAAAAAGAGCAGAATCGCTCAGGATTCTAGATTTACAGTTTATATTTTCTTTGCCACTTAAAACAGTATGTGTAAATAGAATCTTACTGTGCAAATGAAATTTCTTTCAATAGTACATTTACTATTTAGGTTAGTGCTATTTTCCACATTGTTAGGAAGGCCTTAGGTTATTACTAAGACAAAGTGTTATCTACCTCACATTTTAAAGCCATTTATTTTGCCTAAGGAAGCATGAAATAAATGCTATAAAATATAGATAGTACGGAATGTAAACAGAGGCAGTTTCTTTCTTTTTTTTTTTGATACAGAAGTATCATGTTTTGCATCCTTGTTAATGTTTGCACAGTGTGGGATCTCCCCTCTCAGATGTAGCCATCATATGGCACCCACAACCAAAGCATCCATAGTCCTCTAACAGAGAGGCAGTTTTCTAGTTGAGATCAGTGTGTAACTAAAAATTTTGAAACTTTTTAACAAGTGTGGTCAGACTTGCTGGTTTAGGGCTGAGGATTATAGGGCCTACCTGGTGGTGCAAGGGGTTAAGACGTAACCTATGAAGCTATCCACAGCCACGGCAGCACGAGTTCAATCCCTGGCCAGGGAGCTACCCATATGGTGCAGCAGACCTCTCCAGTCTCGCCTGCTGCTCCTCTCAAGCAGTGTATTTCAGTTAATCCACCTGTTCTGTTCCCAACTCTGTGTCTGGTGAATCCTCTCACCCCCCCCCCCCACACACCTCTGGCCTGTGCCCCAGTTCTTGTATTCATAAATAA